GATGGCATCAACGCTTTGCTCGGCCAGGAGATGACAAGCAAGCAGAAAAAAGAAGATTTTGACACGCTCCTATCCATGGAGATTAAATTGCGTCTGCTCGATACCGAAGGTGTGGACATTAGCAAGGACCCACCGCCCATACCCGAAGATCCTGAGAACTATGACTTTTGTTTCGAAAGCTAAATGAACTCAGTATTTCGTTTACTTTGATTTAAATTTATTGCAATTATCGTTCGTTCCAAATTCCTCAACATACATGCCAAAGTATACCCATTACATAGAGTAGATCCATACTCTCCGATCTGAATAAGTATTAACAGTGCAATTCCAAAAAAAAAGAAACAAATGAACAAACAAAAAACGAATGGAACGCTTAGCCATTTAGTAAACACCTTTTACAATACATCTTTTATATAATTATATTAAGTATATTAATATTAATATTAATATTAAAAGAGATTCATATAACTACAACGTTTTATACATTAACCATTTTGTACAAAATGAAAAAGCAAATTGTAACAAGAGAAGCGTATTCTTAATTGTGATAACATATCTAACTGGATCTAGAAGATTCTTGCGGAATAATTGATTAGTGATAATTGGATAACTGTCAAAAATTTCATCTTATTATCCTTCTGCAAGGATGCAGAACATGTTTTTATAGACTTATGGTATCTTATCAACTTGTCAAGAGATTCTAACTAAATCGACGCAGAACATGTTCTGCAGAGTTATCCTTAGAGTAAGATATACATTGGAATATTCTTATATTGCAATTATTGATTGGATAAAAAACATGGATTGTTGCTAAAAGTCAAGTCAAGCCATAAAGCCAAAGCCAAAGCCGAAGCCTGTGGAGCAAAATCAAAGCACAGTCGTCGCCTAGGAGCGGCGACTGTCGCTATTATCCACGCACGGGCACCTTGCGGCGGCGAGCATGAGCGCGCTCCTAGCTTCTTAATCAAATATTATCCTCCAACAGCAGATCGGTGTCATCGCCTCTATCCGGCAGGCAGACAAAGAACTCCAACAGATTCAGAACGGGACCACGTGAAAATGGATTCTGGTAGCGACCGCGCTTATCCCGCAAATATGGATAGCGCTTGTAGTTGAACATCTCGTTCGTGGTGAGATTCATGCACGCATGAAGGATCTATCAAAAGAAAGAAACTATATTAATCAGGATTGAAAATAGTGAAAAACGTTGCCTTACAGATGTACAGGTGAGTATCCAGCCAAGACCGCAGAAGACGATGGCTTCGATTAGACCCAACACATACAGCATAGTGAATCCCTCGATCATCACACAGTAGCAAGCAAAGTAAATTGTAAATGAGCAATTGACGGCGACGGAGAGCACGAACAGAAAGAACCACATCCGGTTGCGCAGTCCCACACAGTTGTAGATGAAGGGACAATGATGATCGAAGTAGGATACACAGCGATTGCAGACCCGACAGTGCTTGGCACGCAGTGGACGCAGGCATCGACAGCTGTGGCAGAGCCGGGTGAGCATCACGTTACGCTTCTTCAGCTTATCGAAGTAGGGTATCTGCTTGATAGCGCGATAGTAAGCATCGGAACTAAGTGGTATATATCCCGGATCCCTGCGATTCGCAATCGCCCAGCTAACCCACATGACCACGTTCCAGTAGATGAAGCAATAATGTGAACGTCTCAATATATTCCACGTGATAGGTATGGCCCTTATCATATACATGGGATAGCCCCAGAGCAGCACCGAAAAGAGGAAGAGGAAGAGAGGTCCTTTGGAATCACCGGCTCCACCAAAGAGCCAGCCCCAACTCTCCGACACAGAGGGAATCCAGCGTGACTTCTTTTTAACCTCGCCATAGAGCAGCCGCACCACATCCTGATGCTGATGGGCTTGAGCTAGCATAATGGGTGTCTTACCGTTCTTATCCCTCGGCTCTAGCTCCAGCTGCGACTTCTCGCACAACAGACGCACACAATTGATATTGCCGGAGAGGCAGGCCAAGTGCAGGGGAGTTGAGCCAAAGTTATCCGTCTTCTGCAGCTCCACACCTGAATACATGAGCAAGCGCATCAGATCCCCATGACCCTTATATGCAGCCCAATGCAATGCCGTGTCTCCATTGATATCCGTCAGATTGTTTAGAGCACCCATGCCCAACAGATAGGCCGCTGTTGCAGTGCGTCCGTACATGCAAGCTAGATGAAGAGGTGTCAATCCTTTGAAATCCGCCGCATTTACTGCAACGCCCGCCTGCAGTAGCACTTGCACCACCGAGGCGTGACCCTTGCGGCAGGCCCAGTGTATGGGGCGAGGTCCCTGGGTACCCAAGCAGGGCAAATCGATTGGAGCCGTTCGTTCAATCAGATACCTCATCAGTTGGACATTTCCGTTGAGCGCAATCCAATGGGCAGGCGTATAGCCATGTCGATCCCGAGCCGAGAGGCATTCCATGCCAAACTTCTCCACCAGATTCTCCACTTCACTCACTTCACCATTCTTGATAATATCGAAAATATCATCCAGATTTACGGTAGCACCATCCAAGCCCTCAAAGAGCAGCATATTGCTGTCGTGCTCGCTGCCATTCGTGTTATTTGCTGCTCCATTTGTGCCAGGTGGTGAGTGGGCTCGATGATCGATGTCGATGTCAATATCAGCATGAGCATGACCATCTTCCTCCATGTTGCACGACGAGGAGGCCGTCAGGGGCAGCGCCCATACACTGCGCGCTGCCCCCGGACTGGGGTGTACCTTGCTAGAGGCCACGTTGTAGAAATCGAATTCTACGCCAAGACGTTCCGCTGTGCCAACCGATAGCGGTGGTTGGTGGTGCAACGGGTTTTCAAGTAGATGTGCAATTTTGTTGGCCTTGTAAGCGACTACCGCACGGATAAAATTCTTTCACGCAAAAATAAACACCAGGACAGAAATTATGTCAGCAGTTTAAAAATCAATATTAACTGCGAATGTAGGCCATTCGAATTCGAATTGGCGCCAACTATGAAACAGCTGCGAATTTCGATAACACAACAGTGGGTTCGATAAGAAACTTGGGCTACCCTTTCTACTTAACATTAAAACGTTCTGCGAGCTGAAATGAAATTTGGATACATGCGACTTGCAAACAACAGCGAAAAGATTTACAAAATAATAATATTCGTTATTTTATTAAACACACTGACATTACATTACTCAATAAAATTCAATTTTTGTGAAACATCTAGCAATAAAAATATCTTTCTTTTCCCTTAAGCACCATGTTAACTTCGAATGATCAAAATGTGTTGAGGCCAGCTAAAGAAAAGTCATATTATTACAAGCCCAATAGGAAACACCTTGAACTCTTACCCGACCATATTCATGTATCGCAAATGAATTCACAGTGGCTTCAATTTGATATAAGTTTAATATCAAAACATAATTCATTTGCAGACGGCTGGTGTTAAAGAACTTCTCGTTAAATATTACGATTGATAGTCCCAATATTTTAAGCGATTTACACTTGGCAACTAATTCCCATATATCGCTTTCACTAAAAAACTAGTCACAGTCCACCAAATTCAACTCTTCTAATGCTGGCATATTACTAACCAGAGATTCAAATTCCTCCCTCGGCAAGTAGGTACTCCACAATGTCAATAGCAGTACATTTTTCAGATCGTCAACATAGTTGAATAAAAAGTAGCAATTGGGAATGTTCGCATGAAATTTACTTATGTGCCGTATTCGATCCTTGAAAATCTGGGTTATAATGCTTCTAGTCTCATGTGCCGCCGTATAAAAGCTAAACGACTGAAGATTACGCAAGTTTCTCAATGCTCTAATGATGTTGTCATGTATGTAAGATGACGCCTTTAATGACTCCAGTTTTGGGAAGAGAATAACTATAAGCAGCAGTGCCTCTCTCTGTTCCCAGTGTGTAAAAAAATCCACTTTGTAATTCAGCGATCTCATACACGGAAAACGTTGACCCTTCCAACGCTTTAAATTGCTAGGGCTAAAGCAATGCAATGCCAAATGCTTAACTGTTGGACTGATGGTTCTAATAAAATCTCTCTCAACAAATTTGTCATACTTTTTAAATTCTTTAAACAAACAAGATTTCAACTCATGGCTTGTTTTGCGTTGCCAAGCATAGCTCACATTGTTATATATTCGGGGAGCGACGTCCTTTGATGCAACCCACAACCGAAATTGAGATAAAAGCTTCAAATGATTAATAATACGCAGTTGAACATCGTCGTTCAGGTTTTCCATAGTCTTGTAGTCACTATTTCATCGCCACAGAAGAAAATTGTACGTTTTATTATTCGCATTAATCACCCCAAATTTCCCAAAACTAACGAACTCGATGACTCACCCAATAGCGTTAGATTCACGAGTGTTTCTGCAAGCAATCTACGCCCGCAATCCAAGTCTTATGCCAGCGTCTATATCCACCGTCGGAAATGCGACAATTAGAATCGATAATAAAAATAATATTTTTTACGACAGAACAAATACGTATGAACGCTTTAGTAAAAAACTCAGAATGGAATGTTTTGACAGAAAAATAAAAGCATTAGCATTTCATCAAAAACTCATATCCTGGTTGCACGATAGCAACTCCATAAAAAGACGAAGGCAGTGATTGAGGTGTGGATGAAAGAAGACGTGCTGTTAAGAAGACATTAGAAGAAGAAAGACGT